ATCATTAAGTGACATAGTTCTAAAGTGAAACTTCAAGTGACCATACAGAGTTACATCAGTTCTGGATATGGTCGTTAAACAAATCACCCATGGCCATTAAGTGAGATGTTACATGACTGCAATTTGCAACTTACTGCCAGCTTCTCTGAATTTATTGGAAGCCAGCTATGAAGGTAGCAAATGTCGATCATATGGCCAGAAGATGACAACCATCATAAATGCAAACTGGTTGTCAAGTATCTAAACTGCAACCACATGATTGCAGGGACGCTGTGACATAAGTTTGAGAACTCGTTATAAATCTACTTTTTCAGTAGAAAATTTTGAATGGTCACTGATTGTGCAGTTGATAAATGAGGCCAACCTGTAAAGTTTTGGTTTGTTAAACCTCCAGTAAGATGCTTCAAATAAGCTCAAGAGCACTACATTCCTTCAAGGACCAATATTGGGAACATATTGGATAATGAAACATCTGTCTGTCTTTAATGGCTAATTCTTCTAAATATTTTGTTTTCCACAAAGAAAAGTAAAATTTTCCTGTCTAACACTTTCAAAATAGACTAGACTAGACTAGACTTCTTTATTGGCCAAGTGGACACACAAGGAATTTGTATTTGGTGCATATGCTCTCAGTGGGGAAATGGGGAAAAGATTTAATCTGAAAGACATTGTGTAACCCCCAAAAATGCAAACTTATTTATGGACCTCTGTTTTCAGTTGCTCATCTTGAAGTTGTCCCTTAGGAGTGGTGTGGTGGCCTAGGGGTGGAGCTCTCGCCTCACAATCAGGAGGCTGTGGGTTCATTCCTAGGTAGAGGCAGATATTTCTCTTTCTGGGCACAATGAGAATATATCTGCTGAACAAAACTCCACATTGGCAACAGGAAGGGCATATGGCCAGGCAACACTCTGCTAGCTCCATTCAGTTGCCCAGACTCCACCCCGCAAGGGATTATGGGGTCGTTAAAAGATGATGATGATCTTAAAAGTTGTCCCTTCTCTACCACTCTTACTGCCCAATTCTTGAATGAGGGATAGAATATTCTGCTAGCAGCCTTCTCCTCCCATTATTCATATATTTCTCTGTATGAACTCTGAAAGCCATGTATATAATATTTAGAATAAGTGTCCTATTTTTAATGATATCTCATTAATAACTTAAATACATGCTCTGCCAGAGAGCTATAACTATGGCAAAGTAGAATTATACAGGAGATATACAGCGGAAAGCTGGAAAAGCCTTCAGACAATAATTGGTATAAAAAGGCAAATAACTAAATAAATGTATATCTATATTTACGCTATCTGTAGGGCGCGGGTACCAAGAACTCTGGCCCGCTCATATTTGGTCATGTAAGGAGTAGTGATCCGCTTCTGATTTGCTTGTTGTCGCTCTCCAGATGGCAAGATTTCCACATTTTCCTGACCCTCCTATGGAATAATACAAAGCAAATGTAAACACACACAGCTGTATGCCCTGTCATCTGAGCAGTCATGCAATTGAAACTGAGAATATGAATGGAAAATATTAAATAAGGTTCTACGACAAGAATGCTATTAGTAAAGGTACGTAATCCATAGTGATAAAATGTAAAACAGACACCAACTTATGAATTCATATATTTTTAACCCATTTTCTAAAGTTCACATTTTATACCACTTAAGCTTTGGGACTTTACAGATCTAGGTTACCAGTATAAATTTATATCCTATTCTTTGTCCTTAGCTTCTAGTCAAAGAAACAAAATGTAGGCTTTGGGTAAAACAATATAGAACAGACTTTGAGGTACATAAGAGAGCACTATGCAAAAACGTTCAAATTCTATTATTTTGCCTTACTATGATAAAGAGTATACCTGGAATTCAGTTTCTTGACCTGGCCTACCTCAAAGGACTGACATAATTCTTGAAAATTTATCCAAATTTCTCTCTATCCCATCTTATACTAAACAAAATCATGGGGAGGTTATTTTGAGTTTGTTTCTCATGCTTCTCTCTAAGGCAGTGATGGCTAACCTTTTTGCCATCGCGTGCCAAAAGCGGGGGGAGCGCGGTGGGGCCACACACACATGTGCCCACATCCATAATTCTATGCGTCCCGCCCCCCCGTGCTCTCCCCACTTTTGGCAAGCGATGGCACGGTGGGCCCGGTAGGCCCGTTTTTCGCTCTCCCCAGGCTCCAAAGCCTTTCTAGGAGCCTGGGGAGGGCAAAAACGGCCTCCCCCCCTCCTGAGGCCCTCCGGAAGCCGGAAACAGTGTGTTTCCTGACTTCTGGTGCGCCCAGAAGGCCCGAAAATCAGCTGGCTGGTGCACGCATGCGTGCCAGAGCTGAGCTCGCGTGCCCATTGATATGGCTCCACGTGCCACCTGTGGCACTCATGCCATAGGTTTGCCATCATGGCTCTAAGGACTGGTGTAACCTTTTCGCAAAGTCCCTCTTTAATAGTTTGATCCTTCTTTCTCCTTTTAAGTGACCCTTTCATAAGTTCCCTAAAATCACCTCTATATTCCTCTATACCCTAATAATACATAAATACAGCCTTCCAAAAGTATTCATTTTGCCAGCTAAGAATGACAGAAGTTGAAATCTAATACATCTAGAAGCTATTTCACTCATAAAATATAAAATTTCCTATTTCAAATCACTCACCAGATTTAAGGCTGTTTTAGGATATCACAAGCTAAAGTCACTTACCTCCTCAACATTTTCTAGATCATCAAGTCCTTCATCTTCTTCCACATCATCAAAATCATCTCCATCAAAACTAATAGGAGAAATATATTTTTATATATTTAAAAATATATATATAATTGCCCATAATATTTTATGGGCAATTTTCTAGCAAAACCCTAAAGTATGTTTCTACAATCACTACAAGCTAAATGTCACAGCTGCTGTCAACACCTAAATTAGCTATCGTGACAAAAACAATGTAGGACTGGACTTGATTCATATGTGGAAGGAAGATCACTAGGAAATCCCAGGTTTATAGATCAGGCTGTGAATGGATCACAGAGAAGTCAGAAAGGGAACAGGTTTGTCTTTAGGCTGGAGAAAATTAACTTGCTCTTCTTTCAAATTCTGTGGCGCAAGCCAGAAAAAAGAAACATTCTTGATTTTTTAAAGGTCTTTAGGCTGGAGAAAATTAACTTGCTCTTCTTTCAAATTCTGTGGCGCAAGCCAGAAAAAAGAAACATTCTTGATTTTTTAAAGGTCATTAAATCAATAAGCATGAATTTGGAATCTATTCTGTTCCTTGAATGTACTCTGTGATGGTAACTAAGCAACAGCTAGCTATTAGGCTTTCCAAATTTGCAACTTCAGAGATTACTACAAAGTACTGATTCCTTCTAAATTCTAAGGAATTTAGGGTCAAATCATACATGAGTTTGGGAACCCATTGGCATGACTGTTGCTATTTAACATATTGTACATAATGTAGAAAATGCATTCTGTTATCAAATTCTGTCCATCAGGTCAGGATAAACTGTTTGAGCAAAAGCATACACTTAAATTAAAATACACATATTAGTATATTTTTTTAAAAAGTCTGATTTGGCTAGTTGTATCCCAATTCCTCTTTGACCGGTGATTGACACTAAAGAAGAACAAATGAAATTATAAAACAAAGGATTTTTGACTTTAACTGTATTTCAACTGCCACATCCTGAAGGGCACATACTAAAAGTGTGAGTCATTTAGCTTCTCAGAATAAAGCATGCTAGACACCAGACAGCTTTAGTCAGATCCAAATTTATATACGGGTGGGAGACATTGTAATTACTCTCCAGTTTCAGGGATGAGCAGAGAAGGAATATGCCATGCCAGTTAAAAAGTTCTTTGGAAAAATCAGTGTGGTACAATTATCTGAGTTAAGTCTAAGTCGGACTTGGGTTCAAATTTCTCCTTAACCATGAGACTCAGCCAGCTCATCATCACTGGTCTAGCATGCTTTGGTGGCGCAGCAGACTAAAGTGCTGTTAAGTAACACCAGCCTGCAATTACTGCAAGTTCGAATCTCACCAGGCTCAAGGTTGACTCAGCCTTCCATCCTTTCGAGGTAGATAAAATGAGGACCCGGATTGTGGGGGCAATAACCTGACTTTGTATTAAAAAGAACACTGCTTAGGGGGGCCCAAAAAGCCCTACTAAACAGGTATATACAAAAGTATGAAGTATATACAAATGTATTAACGCATCGTAAGCCGCCCTGAGTCTCCGGAGAAGGGAGGCATATAAATCGAACCAATAAATAAACAATAAATAAAATCACTTTGGGACTGGTTCAACAGTGAAAGCGGGATACACCTTTTAATAACAATGCCATTGTTATTAACATCAACAGTGTTCATATGAAATCATAGCAATATAGGGGGAGGAAATCAATAGCTGAAAATTCACATTCTTCTAAGTCACGAATTGAAGTTGAATCCAGGGCAGCGTCTCACCGCTCGGTTTAAGGCGGTTCCAGGAGGCTCTTTTTCCAACGGCAGGCGGGCGGGCTGGCTGGCTAAACGAGCCTTCCTTCCACCCTGGACCGGCTCTGGAAATGAGAATTTAGCCCCAACACCCAGGAGACGCCAAACTGGGGCAAGAGGTTAGAAGATGCATTTCTTATTCACGCGCTTACTTATCCTCGTTGTCCGACATGTTGAGGCCTTCCCTCGTTCAGTACAGACCCTCAACGATACCAATCCCCACCACAAACAGAGCGGCCTGACGGGAGACGCGAAGAGTCCACCGGCAAGGAAGCAAAAGGGGGGGGGGGAAGCAAACAAACTCACGCGCTTTCCGCCGAAGAGCACGCAGAGCGCGAGCACTTCCGGGGTCAGAGTTGACGTCGGCGGAAGCGAGCGCCCGAGGGGGTTGTCATGGTGACGGGAGCCGCCAATTCGGGTAAGAGAAGTGTGGGGGGAGGGGACTTTTCTTTTTGCAAACTTCTCTGGCTTCTCACCCCGTATTTGTTATCCCTCCAGAAAAGGGAGCCGTGATCGGACGGGAAAAAATCGGCTACTGTGGGAATAGCTGAGATGGGTGCCTGCAAGCCGAGAAAGGCACGATTTCACGCGTCCGTTGTAGATGCACCGTGATGTCAAAGTTATGATTAGGCTGCAATAAGATGCCGGGTGTAATTGTTGTGATGTAGCACAAATATCTCCAGTTTTTGCCTTAAAAAGTTCAGTTTTGGGTTTGCTACATGCAGCCCATACGTATTTTACAAATGAATATACAATTGGTCTACAGGTAATCCACAATTTAGGACCACAAATGTGACCAAAATTTCTGTTGTTAAGAAGACAACAGATGGTTGTCTTCTGTTGTCTCTAAGAGATGGTTGTTAAGTGAGTTTTGACTCATTTTACGATCTTTTTTGCCACAGTTGTTAAGTGAATCACTGCAGTTGTTAGTAACATGGTTCCTAAGTGAATCTGACTTCCCCATTGACTTTGCTTATCAGGTCGCAAAAGGTGATTGATTACTTGATCCTGGGACACTGCAACCATCATAAATATGAGTTACGGTACTTGCCAAGCATCCAAATTTTGATCATGTGACAATGGGGATGCTGCAACGGTGACAAATGTGGGAAATGGTCCTAAATTCAGTGCCATTGTATTGACATGGGCAGTACAATTTAATTTAATAAATAAAATATGGCAAATGAACATTGGTGAAAAAATCACTAGAAAAAATAAAAACAGAATATGTGTGAGATGTGATCTTAATAACTGTAGATCTCTTTATCAGTTTCTTTCAGAGATTACAATGGCTTCTCAAGAGAGGATCAGGCCTGTGATAAAAGGAAGTGGATTTTGGCATGCTCCCACTGTGAAGGAATATAGTCAGGAAACGCAAGAGTTGTTAAAAGGTAATCAGGAAGCAGAATAGAAAAGTATCCCAGGAAGTAATGCTCCCCACTCCTGGTTATTATCTTGCTGCATTTTAAATTACTACTATTAAATTACTTTTTGTGCAAATTGAGGGTGTAAGTTAAGGATCCCTAGTCTTTGATAATTTCAGTGACTAGTGACTATAGAAAAATGCCCGTGTTGAATTTCTTCCTTAATATGAGGTATAAATTCTTGCATACCTAAGCAGTTAATCACAAGATCTGATCATGCCAATAAAGTTATAAGATGAAAACTGGTTACAGAAAAAAATACAGCCTTTTGAATACTGCTTGTTTAAAGTAAAAAATCCAGAAAAAAAGTCACTTTGGATTTCTGTATTCTAGAATAACCACAATAATAAAAATAATAATTTTGGGGAGAAAACTCATTGTTGCAATCAGATATTCTGAAAAGGGTTTTAAGTTACACTACAATGACACTTAATGTTCTACAACTGGATGCCCTTCAATTATATTTATATCAAAAAGAGAGCAGGAAGCTATCTCATTGGAAAGGGCTGCTACTTATAGGTTGGATTGTAGCCTTTTAGCATTTGGGGTATCTGTGCTCAAGATTTGGCATTCCTTTTTGTATGTAGGTACTGTTTGGGTTAAATCTCTTTCTGCAAAGGTGGTGGTGGTGCTGCTGCTGATCTGTATGGATATTTTTTCTCTTTCAGTGATGATGCAAGAATCTAAGCTTACTTGTTTCCAGCAACGCCATCTTATAAATTGCATGAAACGTAAGTATGCCTAAAATTTAACTTTCTTTTAAAATTTAGCTGCTGTTAGTTCTGGCTTTCAGATTTCTAAATTTAATTCAGACATGTGACTTTCTCCAGCTAAAGAAACAAACCATCCCCTTGCAAAGGAAATTTATATAAACTCAGGAAGTGAACAAAACATTAGTGGAAAACTAAATCACAGATGATGAATATTTCTTAATAAACTCTAGTTTATCCAACTCTCTAGGAAGATAAGAAATCTTCTGTAAAAGTTTGGGATTTTCAGCATGTACTATAAAGGTAGGTTGAGGGACTATATTAGTTTTAAACAATTCTGAATTCATATTAAAACATGAATAATTTCTATTATACATTTTCTTTTATGCATTTACAAGCAAGCCAATTTACAGAATCCCTCCTGAAATATTAAATTGGAATACATATTTATACCTAGCAATTTAACCTTGGGGTCAAATCTAGACACTGCCAAGAATACTACATGGAGGTCTCTAAGAACCTGCCAGAGACTGAGCTTGGCTGACAGGAGACACTTGCCATGTATACTTAAAATGGTACATGCGTGCCATCAGCTTTACATTTAATTCCTTCCCGACCAATCTCTGCCCTTCTTTCTTAGGTGGTGATGCTTTCCCCATACACTGTTATCCAACATCCAGCAGAGAACCAGAGTTTCCGAAGCCTGTATCACCAAAGGTTATTTTGACCACCAGTCCCTTTGGCAGACCTCACCTCCGACCTGCAGAGATCTGTCGCGCAGGAGATGCATATATCAGAGAAAAATTCAAGCCTCAAGCCACTCGTAAGCAAGAAACATTTGCAAATGATAAATGAAGAAATGGAGAGATAAATAACAATAATTATACTCATCATTATTTACAAGTAATCTTTGTTCAGCTACTGTACTACCTGGGCAGCAACCACTTGTAGTTACAACAGTGATAAAAAGGTAACTTTGTAACCTATGAAAATATAACTTTGCAACCAGTGACCACATTTATGGCCTTCGAAGCTTCTCTCAGTCATGTGTTCACCATTAAACACAGTACCTGTTGTGCATTGCCTGAACTGTTTTTTTTTCTCTACCTCATTCACAGTGCAGAAGGATTGCCTAAACAAACTCTCTCTTCCTGAGCTGCTTCTCTCTTCAGTGCAGAGGATCACTGAAAAGTACTAACCACAATTTAACCACTCTTGTGATTTTAATTACTTGATTAGAATCCTGGATTTGCACAGTTGCTGCCTGAAATTGACAAGACTATAATCAATGTCTCACTCAGGGCTTTTTTTTTTTGTCCCCTAAGTGGCTTAGTGCTCCTAAGCATGCTAGGCAAACAGCTGGGAATCTGTATTCCACATTGTATGCCTGCTTACTTCTTATAATCTCTTCCTCTCCAAACATGAATTCTCTAATTCCCTTACTAAATTATCCCAGTAGTTGAATGAACTTCCAAAATGGTAAAAAGGAGCCATAAGATTTGCCCCTTTACTTGGCTTCCTTCCAGAAACCTTCCCTGCTGTTTGAGATCACCCGATTGTTTGGGGTCATATCCTTTTGAAGCTGTAAAGGAAAGCTCTTCTAAAAGTGCAAGCACAGTCACATATTTTTTCACTTAGCTATCACTTTGCTTAATGACTGTTGGTCCCAGTTGCAGTAGTTAAACAAGGACTACCTGCTGAAAGGATTAATGTTCTACGTCAGGGGTGTCAAACTCGTGGGCCAGATGCATCATGTGCTGGCCACGCCCATGCCCATTTTAGCAAAGGGTGAAAAAGTTGCAATACGTCATGTGACGGCCCCATGACAACGCGAGTTTGACACCCCTGTTCTAAGTGATCTGCCAGATTAGTGCAACACTTCAAAGACAAAATGTCTGAGAAAGAAAAAATGATAACCAAGGGAATGTCTTGTGTGGAGAAATACTATCCCTAGAATTCTCTCCATTAGCAGTCTCGACTGCTTCCATTTGAGTATCAGAGTTCATTTATACACATTTGCTTAGGTATTTTAAAGTTGTCTTCTTTTGAGCATAGTCTGTCCTTTATGTTTTGTATTATATGGTAATTGTTATTTACTAAGGATAAGGTTGATCAACAAGAATAGTTTTCCTAAAATATATAAATGCCTGAGATTTGAATCAAATCATAAACTGCTAAGCATCAAGTGTCAGCAATCCAAATTCAAACAAGTCCATGGTCCTTCTTCCCAACTGTGAGGTGGGGGGTGGGAGGGAGACATGACAGTAAGCTATTCCCTCCAGCAATTCTGATCAATAGTTTTATAAACAGTAATAATATTTCTTTTGTATCTACAGGAGACCTGGAGAAGGAGAAAGAAAGACTGCAAAACATCTTAGCAACAGGAAAGGACAAAGTAGAGAAGAAAACTCAGAAGAAACCAGTCAAGGTAGAAGAAACAGTACCAGAGATGGACCGATTCGATGAATGTAAGCGGACTCCCTTAGCTAAAAGCAGTGACCTGATACATTCTGGCAGGGTTCATACAATACATTAGCCTAGGATAAAAGGTTTGTTGTAGTTCAGGAACGTAAGCATTTACAGCCACATACACATCTGGAATAAAAATATAATACAAAGAATTGCAAATAGAAGGACTGTGGCAAAAGAAAGCAAAGATGGCACCAATAGTAATAGGCACGTTACATGCAATCCTAAAACAAGTGGATCACCACCTGAATACCATTGGCATTGACAAAATCCCCATCAGTCAATTGCAAAAGGCAGTTTTACTTGGAATAATTTACACCCTGCAACAGTACCTTCGATACCACCATCAAAAATTTGCCTATAACAGGTCTTTGGGAAGACTCGATAGGTTGACAAAAATACCAAATCCAGTATAAACATTTGGCTGTGTGATGATCCTTAATAGTGTTTAGGATTAATTTATAATGCTAATCCACTTACTGAGTTGGCATAATACATAGAACCAGAAAGTTAAACAAAGATGCTATGTTCATATAGTATGCTATCACTAAAAACTAAGATTAACTCTAACCAAGTTAGATGTTAGATTTATACCAACTAGGATGTGTGAATGTAGCTTCTAAGAATTGACCTGATCTGATTAAAGCATGTTCTATGAATACTGCCTGTTTGTAGCTGGTAGAGATAGGAAACAGCTATTCCCTCCTGCTTGTCTTTTTAGATTCTGAGCACTGTCAAATCAGTGACTTACATGTTAAATTGTCTTGGCAAAAGATTGCTCATACTTCCAGGATGAAGCACAGTAACACTACTTGTATCCCACTAATGCAGTACAGCAGGATCATTATTTTGGCATGGTGTTATAGACTACCAATCAGGATGACACCAAACCATTTGATGCAACAGTATTTCAGGTTAACAATAAACAAGAGATTTCTATACATCAGTTTCAGCAGAGCACACATGCAAGGCAAAACTAATCAACAGCAGGGTAGTCATACAATAGACTTTTAAGATGTTCCCCCCATAATAACAGCCACTATGGTTTATAAACCATGATTTATGGCTCAGTGTTGGGCAAAACATTTAACATTTGATTCAATAAACCATAATCCATCACATCATAGCATGCATAATCAGTCTGTCTATGTTATCAAGAAACTGAGTTATAATTATATTACCACCCTTGTCATGGTCAGACCACTCGCTCCTTCGACTAGACTTTCTAACCGCTGCACCCCGCTGCAGGGAGGCGGGACCGACTAGGTGGTTCCGCCCCAGGCGCCTGATGGATCCTGATAGGTTCCAGATGGAGCTTGGGCCATTTCCTGAGACTCTGGCTCATGACTTGGCTGAAGACCTAGTGGCCGCCTGGGACAGTGCGGCCGCCGGGGCTTTGGACCGCGTCGTGCCTTTGCGGCCTCTGACCCGGTGCCGAACTCACCTAGCTCCCTGGTTCTCCGAGGAGCTGAGGGAGATGAAGCGCCGGAAAAGACGCCTGGAGAGTAGTTGGAGGACCAGCCGCTCCGAATCTGACCGAACACTGGTGAGGTCTCATATTAAGACCTACCGAGTGGCGATAAAAGCGGCGAAAACCAGCTATTTTGCCGCTCTTATCGCATCATCAGATAATCGCCCAGCCGCCCTGTTTAGGGTGACCCGCTCCCTCCTCCATCTGGGATGATTCCTTGTAGGGTCGAGCTGAGGACTTTGTGCAGTATCTGCATGACAAGATCGCTCAGATTCGGGAAGGCTTGGCCTCTGACTGGGTAAATCCAGACGGGATGACTGAGGCAGGTCTTGAGAATGTTATCTGGGAGGAGTTTGATCCTGTGGCTCCTGAGGATGTGGACAGGATCCTGGGACAGCTGAATGCGACCACATGTTTATTGGACCCATGTCCCTCCTGGTTGGTACTGGCTTCCCGGGAGGTTACACGAGGCTGGCTCCAGAGGATTGTTAACGCCTCTCTGAGTGAGGGTATCTTACCGGCCGCTTTGAAAGAAGCGGTGGTGAGGCCCCTCCTCAAGAAGCCCTCTCTGGATCCGACTGTTTTGGCTAACTATCGTCCAGTCTCCAACCTTTGCTTCGTTGCGAAGGTTGTTGAGAATGTGGTGGCGCGGCAGCTTCCCCAGTACCTAGATGAAGCTGTCTATCTGGACCCGCTCCAGTCCGGCTTCCGGCCTGGGCACAGCACGGAAACGGCATTGGTCGCGTTGGTGGATGATCTCTGGAGGGCTCAGGATAGGGGTTGCTCCTCTATCCTGGTCCTGTTAGATCTCTCAGCGGCTTTTGATACCATCAACCATGGTATCATGTTGCACCGGTTGAAGAGGCTGGGGGTGGGGGGCACCGTCCTGTGGTGGTTCTCCTCCTACCTCTCTGACCGGTCGCAATCTGTGTTGACGGGGGCAGCAGTCGACCCCAAGGCACCTTGCTTGTGGGGCGCCACAAGGGTCGGTCCTCTCGCCCCTTCTGTTCAACATTTATGTGAAGCCGCTGGGTGAGATCATCTGTGGCTTTGGGGTGGAGTTCCATCAGTACGCTGATGACACTCAGCTGTACATCTCCACCCCAGGCCACCCCAACGATGCCCTTGAAGTGATGTCCCAGTGCCTGGAGGCCGTGCGGGCCTGGATGGGGAGAAACAGGCTCCAACTCAACCCTTCCAAGACCGAGTGGCTGTGGCTTCCGGTGTCCCAATATAGCCAGCTGGTGCCATCGCTGCCTATTGGGGGCGAATCATTGGCCCCCACGGAGAGGGCTCGCAAATTAGGCATCCTCCTGGATGCACGGCTGTCTTTAGAAGAGCATATGGCGGCCGTAGCCAGGGGGGCTTTCTATCAGGTTCGCCTGATACGCCAGTTGCGTCCCTTTCTGGATCGGGACTCCCTACGCACGGTCACTCAAGCACTCGTCACTTCCCGCCTGGACTACTGCAATGCTCTCTACATGGGGCTCCCCTTGGGGTGCACCCGGAGGCTGCAGTTGTCCAGAATGCGGCTGCACGGGGGATTATGGGAGCGACGGGGCGCTCCCACGTGACACCTCTCCTGCGCGAGCTGCACTGGCTTCCTGTGGTCTTCCGGGTGCGCTTCAAGGTGTTGGTGACCACCTTTAGAGTGCTCCATGGCTTAGGGCCAGGGTATTTGCGAGACCGCCTTCTGCCGCCAATAGCCTCCCACCGGCCGGTTCGCTTGCACAGAGAGGGCCTCCTCAGGGTGCCGTCGACCCCCAGGGGGAGAGCCTTCTCTGTGGCAGCACCTGTCTTCTGGAATGACCTGCCCCCTGAGATACGCACGATATCAGACCTCCGGACTTTTCGTCGGGCCCTGAAAACACACTTATTCCATCTAGCCGGGCTGGCTTGATCCCATCCTCTCAGTTTTAATTGATTAGGTTTTAATTGGGTTGTTTTAAATTATTTGGGCCAAAATTATTTAATTGTTTTTAAATTGTTTTTAAATTTTGTATACTATGTTTTTTTTTTGGCTGTGCACCGCCCTGAGTCCTGCGGGAGAAGGGCGGTATGTATGTATGTATGTATGTATGTATGTATGTATGTATGTATAAATAAATAAATAAATAAATAAATAAATAAATAAATAAATAAATAAATAAATAAATCCTACCTTAAAACATAAAGGCCGTATTGCAAAGAGCCAGTTTGTCTACTGTCCCAAATATTTCTCTTAAATTGTTTGCTTTTGTTCCTCAGAATTAGTATTCAGTGGCATGGGCCTTGTGGATGCTCTAGATCAACCAATCTCCTGGACATTATTACTATGTTCTATGAAATACTTCCTTTTGTATATGACAACCTTATTAAACCTATAGTCATGTAAAAAAGAAAGTTGACTGTTGAGTTCTATGAGCATCAGAACATAGTAAAAAATCATCTGATCCTGAGCTATTCTTAAAAGTAGGTAAATACAATCACAGATGAACACCACCATATGATCTGTTACACCATGTCATCATTTATTTTACAGAAAAGAAAGCCAAAATGGAGAAGCCATGTGTGAAAAACTAAGTACACCTTATGATTCAATAGCTTGTAGAACCACCTTTAGCAGTAATGGTTTTCTTTATCAGTCTCTCAATATCATTGTGGAAGAATTTTGGCCCATTCTTCTTTACAACATTGTTTCAGTTCATTGAGGTTTCTGGGCATTTTGTTTACACATAGCTCTCTTGAGGTCCCACCACAGCTTTTCGATCTGGTTGAGGGCTGGACTTTAACTGGGACATTGCAACATCTTGATTCTTTTAATTTTTCAACCCTTCTGTTGTAAATGTACTGGTGTGCTTAGTATCATTGTCCTGTTGCATCACTCAGTGTTGGCCAAGCTTTAGCTGTTAAGACAGATGGTCTCACATTTGACTCTAGAATACTTTGATATACAGAGGAGTTTGTGGTCGACTGAATGACTGCAAGGTGCCTAGGTTCTGTGGTTGCAAAACAAACCCCAATCACCCCTCCACCACTGTGCTTGACAGTTGACATGAGATGTTTGTGATATCCTATATTTGGTAATTGACATGACTGATATCCTATATTTGGTAATTGCCAAACACTGTGCATTATGGCCAAATATCTTCAATTTGATCTCATCTGCCCAAAGGACAATGTTCTAGAACATGGGTGTCAAACTTGATCACATCACGGGCTGGCTCCTGACATATTGCGACGTTTTTTTCTTTGCAGAGCTGGGGTAGGCATGGCCTGCGTGTGACATATCCAGCTCGCAGGCCGCCAGTTTGATAGGCCTGTTCTAGAAGTCTTGTGATTTGTTTAAATACAACTTTGCAAACCTAAGCCATGCTGTCAAGAGTTTTTTTTTAAGAGAGAAGAGGCTTTCTCCTAGCAACTCTTCCAAAGAAATCATACTTATTCCGGGTTGTTGTTTTTTTGTAATTGTACTGTCATGCACTTCCACATTCAACATGCTGTCTGAGACCTTGTAGAGGTGAGATGTAACTCTTTGATTTTTTTTGCAATTTCTCTGAACATTGCACAGTCTGAACTTGGGGTGAATTTGCTGGGACATCTACTCCTAGGAAAATTTACAACTGTCTTGAATGTTTTCTACTTGTGAATAATCTTCTCACTGTAGAATAATGGACTTTAAATTATTTGTAAATGACCTTATAATCCTTCCTAGATTGATGGGCAGCAACAATTGCTTCTCTAAAATCATTGTTGATGTCTTTTCTCTTTGGCATTGTGTTAACACACCTCAGTGCTGGAGACCAGCAAACTCCTAAAATTCCAGCATTTATAGAGATAGTCACATTTGCCAATTTTTTTTTTTTTTAATTTGATTTATATGCCGCCCTTCTCCGAAGACTCAGGGCGGCTTACAATGTGCCACCTATTACATGTGATCAAGGGCCCTTGATTAGCAGCATCAGGCTGCTACTTAGCCTCTTCATATTTATGAAAGCAATAAGGGTGAACTCAGTTTTTCACACATACCTGCTCCATTTTGGCTTTCTTTTTGCAAAATAAATGATAACATGATGTAATATGTAGTGTGTTGTTGTCAGTGGTGAAATCCAAATTTTTTTACTACCGGTTCTGTGGGTGTGGCTTGGTGGACGTGGTGTGGCTTGGTGGGTGTGGCAGGGGAAGTATATTGCAAAATCCCCATTCCCATCCCACTCTGGGGCCAGCCAGAGGTGGTATTTGCCGGTTCTCTGAACTACTCAAAATTTCCACTACCAGTTCTTCAAACTACTCAAAGTTTCCACTACTGGTTCTCCAGAACCTATCAGAACCTGCTGGATTTCACCCCTGATTGTTGTTCATCGGAAGTTGTATTTATCTACTTTAAAAACTGCTAAGGACCAAATGATTTTTACTGTCAATACATAAAACCATAGAACTCAAAGAGGGTGTTCTTTCTTTCTCACATGACTGTATAACATTTCATTTATTTTTCCCCAAAGGAAGCCATGGTCATTAACAGGTTTACGTAGCATACAGGGAATTAATGTAGCATATGTTCCAATGTTGTTTTCATGTTGCTGTTGTTGTGAGCCTCTCAGGGTTATGGCCCATAAGATGGGCTGCTACAGAAGTCTTTTAAATAAAATAAATGGTTTAAACTTCAGAAGAACAACTATGTTCCTACCCTTTAGTCTTTCATTCCACATTGCTTTTTTTGTCTTTATGCTCAGTGCTGAATGAAATTCAAGATCGACAAAATTTCCTGTCAGAAATGGAAGCTTTGGGACAGAGCAAAGCGTATCAAGGACTTATCCAAACTGAAATATCACAGGTACCTGGTAATTCTGACCTTTATAGCCTTAAATGCAATCTTTTTTCAATATGAAAATTGGATATGCTCATGATTTTTTTGAGAAAGTAGGGAAAGATTTAGCAGAAGGGCATGTGTGTATCTAAAGTGAAAAAGAACCTTTAAAAAACATTATACAGGAGATGGCAATATATTTCATCTGGAGTAAGACTTGTGTATTATCTTGTAAGAAAATTAAAATTTATTGAATTCTTACTATGTCTCCTTTCTCTGCTGTTTGCAGAAGCTCCGGGAGATGGAGATGATTGACAAGCAGAGAACTGCAGAACTGAAAGGGGCAATAGCCAAGTCTTTCAATATAAGCATCAAACATGACAATCCAAGCATAGGTCAAGTAGACCAATAGTTCTCACCACACACACACACAGACACAGACACAGACAGACACACACACACACACACCAAGGACATAACTCCTTCACCCTTTTTCTGCTGACATAAGCGAAGAATATCTTTTTAGTACAATTTTGATCCTCTTGTGGCAGGTATCTGTAGAATATATTTAATCTCCTAGGAATACTGTATGAATCCTGAAAAGTAGGAACGACCTGTGTCAATGTGTAATGGTAGGAAGTCTTTTCAAAAATTTGATCCAGAAACAGAAGGGGTTCAAATGAATCACTGGGTTTACAATGCTTGCCTTGACCCCCCCCCCCCCCCCAAAAAGGAAAAGATTTCCACATATTTCATCTCTGGAAAACAGCATCTGTGTTTCTACCATTTATGTGCTGCTGCTTTTTAGATTAGAACAGTACAACTCTTAGAATAGATCAAAAATATTTTGTATATGATTCTGCCATCCACTGGGAGGCTGCTTCCAATCAAACTGCAGTTTTTCACTCGTCATATAAATTGTTAAGCAAACAGTGGTGATTGTTGTATCGGACTATGAAAGAGAGAATCGGAAGATTTTAGATGGCACTTATTTTTGATGAATGTTTCTTCAGTACAATTACAGACTTAGGACCATCTTCATTATGACTAAGTGACTATTTATTCACGTGTCTCACTTGTTAAAGGAAAGACTTAATACCACAACAGTAAATGGGTGGGAGTAAGGGATGTTTTTCTCATTGGCGTATTTTTTGTTTTGGTCCAGCAGCTCACTTTTGATAGCTATATATTATTCTACTTGTAAAAAAAATAAAAAGTCCTAAGAATTTTGTGATTTTCTACTTTTTATTCTCTATACCATAATGCTTTGTGTCCACTTCCTGCCAAGACATCTCAAACTATATAAACAAACACCACAGGTACAAAATATAATGGTCTTATCAATTTTATTATTGATTTCATCTGTGCCCATCAGTGGAGATTGCAGTTAACACAGGGTAATTATGTTCACCAGAATCTGATAATTTCTGATGGGAATGTATCTGAGGACATTTTAAAAGATTGACTTTTTTTTTTGCTTTATAAAAGGAAGAGCTGTGCATTGGACAATCTTGTAGCGGAGAGCAAGAATCAGATGGTGGCTACTGTACTTGTACAGCAGGGGTGCCAAACTTGCGTCGTCACGCTGTCGTCACGTGATGTATCGCAACTTTTTCCCCCTTCGCTAAAATGGGGGTGGGGATGGCCAGGGCGTGATGTATCCAGCCCGCGGGCTGCAAGTTTGACACCCCTGTTGTAGAGGTTGAGAAGGTGGTCCTAATCATAGCTGACACCACCAATGAATTCAGCTCTGCTTTGAAAAGTTCTAAACCCTAACTGCTGCTGTCCAGATGTGTTGAATTATCCATCATTCCCAAACTAGTATTAACATGACATACTGACTGACCAGATGGAAATGGTAGCATAACACATCTGGAGGGCTCCAAGTTAGGGAGGGCACTCCAGGCTGAATATCACAGTCAAGGACTGTTTGCCAATTCATCACATCTGAATAAAGCAGCACAGCAATTTGCTAATAAGAACTCAAACCAACACCTACAATATTATCAACATTTAATTCAGACCAAACAAACATCTCAATAAATAGTCCCTCAAGTTAGAGAAGCCAGAAGAGAGAGAGAAAAAAGACATTCTCCCCTCTGAATTCATACATACACACAAAACTAAAGAAAGAAAAGCTGAAAGTCAGATAGAGGGTGGGAGTTTGGCTACAAAAATTATAAAGTTCTTTTGCACTCTTAGAAAAAAAAAACATGCACATAAACCCTGAGGGGAGGGAGCTAAGAAGAATTACAGTGGTACCTTGTTGATATTGAAGACAGCTTGACATCCTCTTCTGGCTCTAATGTTTGGCAGGCAATGAGTTACTGTCCCAGCCTGCTATGTCCCCTGATATAAATAGCAGCAGCAGCAGAACCAACTAAGGGTTAAAAAGATCCAGTTGTTTTCCATTCATACCTGCACAAATCTACCCTCTGACAGCAACTGCAATTTGCTTTACAACAGAGGCCAAAGCTGTCTTAGCCTTTCCTCTGTGGTTTGTTAACTAGTTGCCAAGAGAATCGGCATTCACAGCATAGTATTTTCTTTGGTGGCAGAGAAATCTTCCAGAAATAGAGCACTGGATAGGTTTTTGGATGTTTTTACAGACTTTATAATAGACTTTTTTATGGTCAAAATATTTTAAAAATTTAATCCTCCCACAACAAAAATCTGCCCTGGAAGCCCAATTATTATGATTAATATTGTTCTGAATGACCAAAGAGGAGAAAAAGAATAAGAAAAGGAATTCAAAAGAGATAACGAGGCTCCCAAACTACAGTGGGGATTATCTTCCTCCTCCCTCCCCCGAAGAGATTATTAGGCACATGTGACTATCACAGTTAAAGGAGGAGAATTAGTGCAACTTTCCCCAAAATATGCATGATTAAAAGTTCTGAACAGTCAAAAGATATAATAGGTGCACAACTGAGGAAGTCTAAAGCTATTTTATTTGTCCATTCCCATCCCCACCTTGAAAGAGAAAATGGCAAACAGCTTCTTCCTCCATGTCAGTCCCTCTCTGTAATGTGCTCATAAGACTTGCCATATTTCCCCCTTTTCTAACACCTGCTGCTGTGGAAGGTGGTTGGATTTTTCCGAGATAAAGCCAGCTTTGGTGTATGGCAAGGCACAACCTCTTTTTAAAAAAAAAAAATGGGCAAAAGCAGGAAGCCATCCTACTTGCCAGGCACACCCAGCTAAATGGGGCTGAGCAGTCAAAGAGACTGGCAGCCCTCCTTACTCTTCTAGCTGCCAGCTGCTTTAGCTCTTTTCCTTGGGGGATCTGCTTTTTGAGTCAGGTTTATTTCCAAGTAACTTAAGCACTTTCATTGGTTTGAATTTTCCTTTCTTCTTGCTATCAGCCTCGGAGTCCTTGCGAAATTCTGGAGAGAGAAAGGGTTAGGGTTAGTGGCATGCAAGGTAGAGGGGATTAGGAACATAGAAGGCTCCCTTAGAATCAGCCAGACTACTCAACTGTCTTTGCTTAAACTGAACAAAAAGCTCTTGGTTTTCAGAAACTATTCCTTCCTAACGCTACCTCATCAAGCACTGAACTAACCCAAGATCCTTCCTATAACGTGGAAAGACTTTCTTAGACCACAGATGCTTAAGCAATACAGCCAGAATATGCCTCAATGACAGGATTTACAGAAATGTAAATTTTATATTTTAAATTTTACATTTAGTGACTAATATTGTTCTGACCTAGGCTTCCTTAGAAGTTTAAGTGCAGGCCACAACAAATATTCAAAACTTGTACATGGATATTATCTAAGAATATAAATCCATTTATCTGCATATTTTCTAAAACTTAGATCATTTTGGAATCAGACCCAGCAAGGTTTACAGAATCTGCAGTTGTGTTCAGATTTTTCCCCCTCCTGTACTGGATTAAGAAAGAAAAGATTTTCAAGTGGCAAATATTAAGATCACAACAGCCATTGAACTTATTCATTACTGAATCTGTACCACTCTGAGATTGAAAATAGAATCTCAATTTTACACTGTACTCAGAATCAGTCCCATCCAGTATGTATGCTGTGATTTTCCAGGTCAAAGAAAAAATCATGTTCTCTCAACAATGAACTGTTCTTGTTACAGAACAAGTTTCTAGCTTTTATGACAAATCACAAAGGATCCTGGATTTCCAATATTTTGGGCAGAACTTCTATGCCTTCTATTTGTTTTTGCTCCACAGCTAGCGAAATCAATGTAAAATAACAAATTAAATGCATGTCCCTGAAAAATGTTCATGACTTGCATTCTTTCCTTTTGAGGTATTTGCTTCAAAGGGAAGGAGAATTGTCCTCTTCTATACTGGCAGTGGAAGAGAAAGGCAGATTTAGATTCACTGGTACAATGCCTCAGTTTACCTCCTCTTTTCACATAACTTTCTTTGATCTCTAAGATAAAAGTTATTTGCTACTCTCCTGTGTTGGCAAAGGGAAAGAAGCTAAACCAACACAACTTCCCTCTCCCTTGGTTCATGGTAGCAAATGTGCTGCCTCTTTTGGCAAAGATGTTCCCTGACAACAGAGAAGTGTGCCAACGCCATATATTGCCAAAGCCAATTTAGGATGGAGAAACATTACTTTGTATTTCCCATTTCTAACTCCTCCCATCTGCAAGGAACAAAAAGTATACTTTGCTGCTAAGATGTGTTGTGGAAAACAGGAGAAGTTACCTATTTGGTTTATATTTTATACCTAATTATACAATTAGCTTTTGTTAGGATAGAACTGAAGTTGGTATGGGTATAGACATTAAACCAGTGATGAAATGCTCCGAAGTCTGATACCGGTTTGCTGCTGTGCGTGAATGTACAGTGCGCACCAAACACATGCTGCACACGCATGTACATCACAGGCACTACCGCACAGCGCTGAAAAAGGAGGCTTAAGAAGCCTTTAAGTAGAACAGCAAAGGGGGGAACAGCTGTACCGCACAATTTAGATTTGTGTTGTGGCCTGTACACGGCCTGTGCAGCTAGTAGCTGATTCAGACAGCAAGGAGGCTGGTGTGATGCTGTGCCAGCAGCCTGTGCAGCTGGCACTAAAGTTGGACAATGAGGAGGCTGGAGAAGATGTGGTGCCAGAGGCGGGGATTCAGCAAGGGCCTTCAGAACCTCCAGAAGCTCCCTTAAGTGAAGAGGACGAAGAGGAGCAGCTTCTTCTCGATGCACGGGCGCGCAGAGCTGCCAAAAGGCAGGAATGGCTCCTCAGGAGGAGGTCTCCTCGAGAGTAAGTCTTGGGGCTAATTGGCCACTCCCTTAGCCTATTTAAGGAGGAACGCTGACTGAAGCAATTTGCAGGGAACAACTTAATTCACATACCTTCCTGTCTTGTCTTGCTTATCTTATCAGCTTCCTGCAAATTGCTTCTGGGCATTCTTCCAACCATAGGAAGCTTTCAGTTATTATTCTTTGAATTCTTAGCGGCTGTTAATGCAATTAATTAACAGCCATTGTTGTAAAAGATTGGTTTATTTAGTAACTAAGGTTTGAACAGACTTTGTGTGTGCTACGTTCTTTGGGGTCCATAGTTGGGGTAGAACAATTTGCTGGAAAGCAGGATTTCTTGCTTTCTAGCAAATATAAATCACACAGCACAGCTGATCGTCGGAAATACCGGTTTGTCCAAATTGGTAGCATTTTTTTTACTACTGGTTCGCCCAAACTGGTAGCTTTTATTACTACTGGTTTGGGCGAACCGGTCAGAACCGGTAGCATTTCACCTCTGCATTAAACATATTTTGTACAGAAGATAACAAAAATATACACAAATATATTTAATAGTTAAACAACAATATCAGTGCATAATTCTGCAAACAACAACTGCATCTGAGACTGGGAAGTCTGAATGACTGGACCTGATTCTTCTTACCTTTTTTTTTAATCATGGCTTCCAACATTTTATCCTCCTCTTCCTCCCTGGCAAAACAAGCAAAACAAAGCAAAGATCCTGTTTTAGTCAACGTAGCCAAAGTAGGACTGATTAGAACAAGAATCAGGCTCCTAAAGCAGCGATGAGCTGCTATTTGGTGACCAAAGTCTGTGTTTAATATTTTTCAAGTGGGTGAAGGTCTAAATAGGGAGCATGCATCACACATATGCTGTTGCCTGGGTTTTCAATTTTTTTTAAAAATAGTTTTTAATTCTATTAAATCTATTTTGAGGCATTCATTACATTTTATGAAAGTATCCTTTCCTGAAAGGATAGCTAACGGT